TGGCACAGAGGCATAAAAAAACCTAACTCATCAATGAATGACATTACAACAAATGACTGACTAATCAGTTCTCAGATGTCAGAACATCCTTGAACGCACTGGTGAGTTTCCAAATTAGTCCCTGTTTGAAACTCTAGTATCACTAGTTCACATCGCTTTGACCAAGAAAAAAAAAGGTGACTGAATATCTCCTGTTACAGATTAGCAATATGATTCTCCAATCTGTTCATCATTGTGTACTGTAACGAACCAGTGGCTGGCTGTTAGTAGGAAATCGACTGGAAAATGTTTGGTATGCTTTGGAAAGTGGCAGTCAGTAATGTGAAGTCATTATTGGATAAATGCACCAGTATTTGAGTGTAACAAGACATTCTGAAAATTTCAGTATTTTACAGGTACATTCTTAGAGATTATTTCATATGTTCCCAAACAAGAATTGCTGGCCTTCAATGCAGTGCTGGATCAGTGTACAACTGAATATACTGTGGAAAATCAATTTACTGCAACTTTAAAGCTGCACAAGAGATACTTTACATGGTATGTTATAGTTCAAAACTTTATTTCCACACAACAGCTTTTTGCTTACGTGATGAAGTCCATGAAACTGGCCAGCGGCTCTTATGACTGGTTCCTCATGTGGCGAAACTCAACCACCATCTTCTCCTTCAGCTTGTCGTCGATGACGGACACAGTGAGAGGAGACGCCTCGTTTGCCAGGAAGCTGCCATAGTCTGTGCTCTGCAGGTGCAGTTTCAGATCTGCAGGGGAGACACATTGATAGAGAAAGTACTGCTGATTTGTCTTATTCTGTAGAAGAAACCTAGAGTCAAGATGCAAGACACATAATGAACGCTGATATTCCCTTGCTTATCAACAAGCTTTATGCCTCAGAACATGGGTGCTACTATCTTTTGCAGCTGACATAATTTGGATCCATAGTCTGCGCAGTAGTGATCAGGGGTGGAGCTGTGGTATCAAGGTCTCACCCATACACCCACCTTACTCAACTGTAAATCAATCACAGCTGTCAATCATGTTGTAGCATCAAATAACTAATTAAAATGAACACTTAAACACACATGAGCATGATACAAACTACCTACAGTGACAAGACACCATCTTTGGGAAAAATGAATTTGATGTGGCGGGATACATGACTTATACTGCAGCCAGTTATCAGGGGGTGAATGACATGTTTTCTCCTCACTTTAGTGGAGCCGTCATGTCATCCATCGTTACATACAGTCTGTGGGTGTAACTCATGGAAGGTTAATGCTGTCCTCCCAGAATCTGAGTGCCCTCTGTGCAGGTGTGCCCCAACTAAAGTTTATTTTGCCATTAAAACTGGTTTAAAAAACATTGCCTTAGGACCAGAGAATAAAACTGACAACAGTCAGACAGACACATACATCACAGTGACAGACCTTGACAGTTTTCTACATGTGAATGTTGCAGTCTGGATTATTTTTTCTTTCAATTTCCTGGAAGCTCAGTTGTTTTAATTTCCTCATGGTAACAAATGCAACTGTCCAAACCATCACAGTGAATATTACATCTTTGTTGATAAAGTTATAGTACTGTTGTGTGGTACTGCAGACTGTTTATACGACTCTGCACTTACAACCGCATTAAATTTGCAACAATATACATATATTTATTATCAGCACAATGCCAACTTACACGATACACACATAAAATGTAGCTATCACTTTTTTTTACTGTCACCTTTTGCGTGCGGTTCAATGTTCAGTTTGTTCAATAAAAGAATACTGCATTAGTTTCGTTTCTTTTTTTAAATCTAACAAGCAATTTGTTATATTTCATTATACTGAGAGCAGCAGAACTGAGTACTTTTTAATATCTTTTTTATTTATTGCAAGTAATATTGTTAATGCTCAGTCATGTTTTCATTGAGACTGTGGGGCCACTGGCTCTCTGGCTTGTTTGTGGGTGCAGTTTATCAAATTTTGTCTTTTTAAGAACTTGCATTACATAGTGTTGGGTATTTCTTGTGTTTTTTATATACATATTGTATTTATTCGATCATATTTTTGTACATAGACGATTGTCTGTTTTTATGTGGTACTCTATGGACCTTTCTCTGTGTCCTTAATGAAGTCATTTTTATTATCATTATTATTATTATAATTAATAGTAATAACATATTCAACAACCTTAATGCATATGGCATATTTTCTTCATACGGTGCAGCCCTACCACCGACTGATGAACCCTTGAGCTCATAACTTACTTGACACTTCACCTTTATACAACTTCTACTTCCTGTTTGCACCGGCACTCACCACAGTTTACATTTATTTACTTAAATATAATATACAGTTTATTCATTTTAACACTTCTGTGCACAAGTGTACCACAGTATTATCGTTTATTCTAGTTTATATATATCTTATATTAGATTCCTACATTTTAACTTAGGCACAAATGTATGTTATCCCCTCTGTAACTGTTTTGTATATGACAAATAAAGACTTGAAATACTTGTAACTTTCATAAAGAAAAACCCCAAAGAGCATGACCACTGTGACTGATAATCTTATGTTTCACTCCTTGATTTTGAAGCTGTGCAGTAATAAATAAAAACCATCCCAACATTAGGAAAGATAAGGTTACAAGGATTGTTTGGGAAATAGTCCACAGTACTGTTAAGTATAACTGTAGCTAAAACACTGGTGTGACCATTTACAAACTCTGTACCCATAACACATTTCCGCTTAGCTGTACAGAAAACAAGAGGCGTTTACTGCCATAAAATCTCAGTTATAGTGAAGTGTACCAGAGGACTGTCACACTGTTAATCGATAATGACCATAATACACCGGGGTAGTGTCAGTGTGTTACAACTAGCTAAGGCTAACGTTAATGAATCACTTTGTCATGACTATAGTTACACTAACAGTCTGTTCCTATTGTCATTTCACTTCCTCTAAAAAGTCCATCATTGATCAATAGACGGCTAAACAGCTGCTTATATCTGCTTAGCCTACGTTAGCATTATGTTAGCTTCCTAGCTAGCTAAGACTCAGAGGGTAGCCAGCTCACAGAACCGAATCTAGAAAGATATTTCTACTTTGTTCTGTGGAAAATGTCGATGTGAAGCTTGCTGACAAACAATAAGTGACAATAATACAACGCGGATAGTCAGATAATACGATTTTAAAAAGCGTTGTCGTTGATGTAAACCGAGCTAACGAGCTTTGAGGTTGACAGCTTGCGTTAGCTTGACTTAGCCCTGTGCGGCTAGCTTCTAGCCGTTAGCTAGCACCTGTCTTCACTCACCTTCCAGGGTCTCACACTGAACGAGGTTTAAATAATCCGCCTGGGACAGTATTCCGGCTTTGAACCCTCTGACCAGCCCCTCCAGGTAGCCGTTATCGACGTTGAAATAGAGCTCGGAGAAAGGCATCCTGTCTGACCGTCAGATCCGTCTCTGCCGCTGGAGAACCGTCAGTCCGGCTGGTTAGCGTTAGCATCAGCTGACTGAACCACGTGACCATCATCTGATCTGTCACATGCTCCTACGTGCTTCTTTCGAGGATTGCAGTCAGAGTTTTACCAACTTCAGTTTGTAATTGCCCCAACAACCAAAGGCTGTAGAGACAGATGTGCCACTTTTCCTACAGCAGGATGCATCCTTTTGTGGATCTGTGTGACTGGAGAGCTTAAAGAGTTTCTAAATTACAAATGTGACTGATGTGATTCTTGCACACACATTTAAAAATCTGTAAATGCATTTATAAGAATATCACACTCCTCCAGCAACTAATCAGTGATCTGAGGTAGACCCCTGTCTGATAATGAAGCCTGGAGTTTGAAAGACATTTAACAATTACAGACGACACAAGGGATACCACTTAAATTATTTGCACAACTTCGCACATAATTTGTGCAAATAATTTCCATGCCAGTCAGAGGTGTCAAACTCATTTAGCTCAGGGGCCACATATAGCCCATTTGATCTCAACAGGGCCGGACCAGTAAAACCACTGCATAATAACCTATAACTAACAATCCCTTAAATTTTTTTCCCTTTTTTAGTGTAAAGAATTGTGAAAACATTCATCCATTAACAAAACATATAATATATTAAGAAAAATATGTGCAAGTTATCATTACTAGCTTTCATTACATGTCTTTTTTCATTTTGTTCCAGTCCCACTAAAGTGGAAGCTGTTGAAGAAGCAGGTGAAGTCATCCGCTGCCTTACAAACCATTTACAAATCAATAGTTTTGGCAGTGTCTTAACAACAGGGTTCCACTCGTATTGTTTTAAGACAGAAGTCTGATACAGTTTTTGCACTGAAGCTGCTGGTTGACGATATTTTGCATAATGTTCAACATTAATGTGATCACAAAAAAAATTACTTCAGAGAGCTGTATTCTGGTCAGAGTGGAGAAGTCTCAGAGGCAGTATGTTACATTAAGTATCTAATCAGTGTATAAATTGCTCCTGAAACCTTTAAGCCTTCACCCAGTGGGCCAGATTGGACCCTTTGGTGGGCCGGTTTTGGCCCCCGGGCCGTATGTTTGACACCCTTGGACTGGCATGTTAGAGATCTGTGGAGGCGTGGCCCCTTTGATAGTAAGCAACTCGGCAGTTTAATGTGGAAGTGAGATGGAAAAGATATTGTATGTGTGCACTTTACCAATGCGCTTCCATCATATGCTGGCTCCTTACATTGGCACTTAGAATTCTGAGAACCCTTGGTATAGTATATCATAACCATGAAATTTAAAAAAAGTCATAGTACAGTATGTCATAAAGTTATAGTGTTGTATACCATAACTCATAAAACTGTAGTGAGAGTGAATGGTTGTCTGTCTCTTCCTGACAGGCTCCACGTCAGCCTGATAGTCTGACACTTTGTTGGGTGTATACACATGGTCTGGTTTTTTTTGCTGTGTTCCATTCTGCTGTTCAGATATCATTTCAGAAATATTCATCATCGCTTTCTGGGTAAAAATAAAAGAGAGGGACATTTCTTAACAACTCTGTCTCTTTATTGAGAGCATGATCACATGATTTTATAGCCCTCGTGGTGTTTTGAAGTTCATTCCAATAGTTGGTTGAGTGACTTGAAGGTTGGAGAGGCCACCGAAATCCTGGAAGAAGAGGAAACAGACGTCACGATTACGGTAAAATAACAGAGACATAAGTAGATGTAGGGTTATTATATAGGTAACACTTCATAATAAGGATATGAATCATATACTGAAGTCATGCCGCTTCACTAATGCATGACTCGTGATGATTTAACGCAGGATGTATCATCACATGTGACCACACTGACTGGATTTCACTCACAGTAAAGATAATTAAGACCCATGCATTTGCTCAGCCTCTCTGAAAGCAGGATACCTGTTCTCATAAAAATATTAAGCTTTTTTTGTTTGTTTTTTTAAATCCAACTGGTCATCAGTTGCAAACTTTTCCCTTACTGTATGACCCAATGGTATTCATGCCACATTTACAACCTGGTGGCATAAGATGAGTAGTTTCTCATTTTATGTAAATTTGTTTGCTATTAAGAAATTGAGTGACGCACAGTAGATCATGACGACGATTACATGCACAAAATATTCAGTTTTTATTCACCTGGAATTCCCTGTGCCTTTAATGCTCTTATGATTCATCCAAAATTATTTGAGTCTTAGACTTTCTGATTTTCATAATCACATTTGTGTCATTATCTGAATGTAATCATTTTCTGTAAGTGCACTTTGGTCAACATTTGTTGTAAACATGCTCATCAAATAACCTGATATGTTTGCCATGACAGCTGCCTACAAGTCCATACACATTATTCTGATGGAATTTGAATTTCTTTGTGGCCACAGTGAGAATCTTCAGAACACAGTTTGTCATCTGTCACTAAGAACACAAGAAATGTGTTTTACACTCACCAGCATCTTGAGCATTTCCTTTGTGTCAGGATCCACCTCGATGAGCTCCTGGTCCAGGGCAGAAATCTAAAGGATGAGATAAACAAAAACTTAGCTTTCTGAATTGTGCAACATGATCTATTAGAGTTTGTTAACTTGTTTGTAACTGTCAGTTTTACCATTCATTATCAAACCAAAACATGGATAAAACTTTAAGGTGTGAGTTTCCAAACCAAAGCAAGAACTGTCTTGTCTCTTGAAACCCACTCACAGATAAGACAAAGTAAAGAGTGTGCACTGACCTCTGGGACGTAGTTGTCCCTCCTCTCTCTCTCCTCCTCCTGCAGCTTGATGGAGATTCCTCTGACTGGACCGCGCTGGATGCGCTTCATCAGATGCGTCACATACCTGAGAGACAGTCAGGAGCACAGGGTCATTACACGTATAAGGAACAAATCAACAACTTAACTCTACACAAAGTAGTGTATAACTCCTGCATTAAGTGTTAGCTGATTGCTAATTTAGAGACACTTTTTCCCCTCAGTTTTATATATTGTTAACTGATTTATTACTTAGTTTTATTAGCAATTTTGGGACATTACCTCGGTAACTTGTGCTGAATATTTCTCAACATTTTAGACAATTCATAGTCATAAAAATACTAACCAATAGTGAAAACACTTGTTGCAGCTGGAATTGGTATTGTGTCACTAAAACTAAAAGGTATTGTGCAGCTGCTCTCAAGTTCATGATACAGAGATAAGTCAGTTAAAAAAAATAAATGACTGTGACTTACATTCCCTGAGAAAATGAACACAATGGGAACACGTTCAATTTTTAACCCTTATGGCCACCCCAATACATTCTGGATTTTGCAACATCAATAGAAAGCATAAAAAATTAATTCAGCAAGTAAACCAGTAAAAACCCTCCAAAACAGATAAATTCAACTTAAGTGCTCCCCATTCATCGTCTGCTTAGGAAGCACTCAACTGACCTCCGGCTGTCTAGGAAAAGTACAACAAGGTACTCAAGTCTGGTATACACAGAATGGTGGGAGCCATGAGAACAGTTTAATCAAAACACAAAAATAACTGCGACACACAAACTGTAATCCAGCAAACCAAGAGGTCAGCACCAGTTTCTTCAGCACAAACACCACTTTAAATGGCTCCATTTCAAGAACAGAGCACGCAGAATACAGTTAACAACTATTTTATTACTTATTTAAGATTACATAAACACCACACATTGTTCAGCCTATAAGAACAATAAGCACAAGCATCAGTAACTTGGATGTTGTCATTTCAAAACAAACTACATGGTGCTAAGGGCAGCAAGACTTAGAAGAAGTCTTTCTAAGCAAAGAATGTGCTTTTCAATATAATCATCTGTATCAGCCACTTTTTAGTCATCTCTCAAACTCAACATCTAATGAGGTCCAGACCAAACAGAACCAGAAGAGACTCAGAAGCTCCAACCCACCATATAAAATTGAGAAAATCACACCAGGGAAAGATTTCCCCTGATATTTCTCATAACTGTGAGGGAGATACGTGGGGGCTTACTAAGAGAAACTGAGAGTTACTTAGGTTGAGAATTAACCTGTCCGAAGCCCAAAAATAAAAATAATAAGACCAGAGGTACAACAAATAACACCAAACCTCTAGCATACTGAAGTAATAATTCCTGCAAAGCTATTTTGTTGTCAGATAATTTAACTGCGGCTGTTAAAAATATAAAGGTTGATGTTTCACTCTTATTTAACTGCGATCAGGCAATGACAGCAAGCGTCGCTGCTCTCTACTGCTGTGAAAGTCAGACGGCTATTATTAAATCCACATCAGCCAGACGAATACTTATGGTCATCACAGCACTCAGTCAATAAGCACAAGAACATCTTGCCCTGCTGCCCTCAGGACGCAGGTATAAAACGCTGAGGTGCAGATGGGCTCGCTTCGGGAAAAGCCTGATTCCCGCAGCCATTGCTGCTCTGAACAACAGGCCCCGTTGATTGTGTCATGTTTATATGCTGTATGTCGTTGCTTTTTGTGTGTTGCTCGCCAGTGTGATGTGTTCTGATGGTGTCAGTGTTTGTGTGTCATTGTTTTTCATGCTGAGTCCAACAAGTACAGTGCTATGGAAAAGAATTTTCCCTTGGGGACAATAAAACCTAACCTAAACAATGTGGTTAAAAAGTGAATATCATCTCTAATGTAGACGTATCATCAACTTTCACTGTTCAACCTTATTTTGCTCAGTGACTGAGTAAGTGAGATGATGTTTTATTTAAGCTATGATGTAGGGCTGCACGGTATATAGGGTAGACAGTAGAAATGATATAAATTTGGCCCACGGTAGAGATTTGCGCTCTACCATCCTATCGTCGATGATGTCATCTCACCTTCCTCAGTGTGAAAATGGCTGTGAGCACAGACACAGCGGAGCAAGAGGAGCTGGTTCACGTCCGTGATTTAGCGTAGCACGTGCAACATGTGTTGCTGGAGAACTTGTGAGTGAGTGAGTTAATGTTTTATGAACAGCCCCGGACTTCTCAGACTCTTTTAGCGACTTACCGCTCAGAGGGAACTCATTCAGTGTCTCCTCTGGCAGCAGCACAGCGTCTCTCCCTCTCCTCTCTTGCCGTGCGCACACGGGAGTTGGTTTTTGGCAAGAGATTTTGTCATAAACCTTTGGTAATGTAAACCTATGTGACGCTAGGGGCTCCACAAAAAACTCCATATGTGAATGTGTGATAGTTGTGGTATCATAGCAGCCTGTCACAGGTTACAGCGTGATGATTAGAGGAGAAATGGCAGAGCATAAAGGTCCAGGTGGAAAAAACACAACTCAGTCATTTAGGATTTTGCTAAAAGAAGGAAATTACCTTTTGATATAGATCCCAGGGGACATTTTGCACCATAGAGTACTGGGTTTTAATTTTGAGTTTTGAGATCTGCATTCTGCACAATAAATGCTCTAAAAAATACATTATATCTTCGCTTTTGTAAAAGAGAAACACTTCTATTATAACTTTTACACTTAAATTTATACCGCGATATATACCGTTACCGTGAAGGGATTCGATTTATACCGTGATATGAATTTTAGGTCATACCGCCCAGCACTACTATGATGTCACTAAAACCTGACTAAACTGATGATATCATCCATGGTCTGCATGCAACCATCATCCAAAGCCAACCATAAAACACACCACCACTATTTGCAAACCAGACATAACAGCTTACATTTAGCACATATTTAGCAGAGAGCTGAAGGACCTTTGACACACCTTCAGAGGTGTACGACATGAGACATCGCTCCCCCACCTCTAATGTGGTAGGGTGTAGGACCCCTGCTACATTTCATCTAGACTGCATAAATTAATGGCCGAGGGATCAAACTACATTTTAACATCCTTTAAAAGGAAAAGCAGTCACTGCAAAAACATAATGCTAACTAATGTGACTGTCAAAAATCTTAATGGTTTGGTTTCTTAAAAAACACACTGTTAAACATCAATATATCATCTTTCACAGAGGCTGAATGATGCTTTACATGGATTTATTTATAAATTGGTTTATTCAGTAGCAGTTGTGCTATGCCTCCTTCACTATCGAGTCTAGCTGAATTTCCCTTAGGTGTAAACTATTTCTCACATGCACGTTTAAGTTCAGAGATAAATGGATCTTCGAGCGCTTAAAAAATGCACAGTCCATACAAAACTGCTCAGTGAAACCATGTTAATCTCTACACATCTTAAGCTAAAACATGCAATGCATTCCAAAATACAATACTCTCTGCTGCAAGCATCAAACCACTTGTTTTGTGCTTTCATGTCACCATCAAATTCGAGGTGTACCAGGCTGCAAACAAACACACTATCACTAGTGGACAAATCATGTACTGATGGGAGGTCTGAGCAAGTGAACACCAGCCAGCAGGAGTGCACGTCCCTGCAGAACACAACACACACTCCGAAATAGCAGCCAATTACACTTACCCTGCAATTTTGTTGCGCAGAGGCTTGCTGGGGATGATGGCGATCTCCTCGCACACCCTCTTGTTGGTGTGGAAGTCACTGCCCAGGCGTGTGTAGTATTTCTCAATGATGACCCTGGCGGCCTTCTTAACTGTCTTGGTCCTGACTCGCCCCTGAAGACAAACCAAACAGACACCATCAGTGAGAAATTTATTAATAAAACATGCCAGAGGAATGTAGCCTTTAAAGAGGAGGAAAATCATGTTGTTTCAATGACTGTAATTGCACTGGTCAAGGAGTACAGATCATGGGCATTACTGACTAAACCAAATATCTTGATGCTTGTGCTTTCACATAATTTTTATAACCTTAAATTAAATGTCAGTCAGGTTCGTGTTGTGGATGTCCTGCCCTAGACCACAGCATGGGTGTCTTAATTTCACTCAGCTGCAACAGCCGATTAAACTGTCAAAATGTTGGAGACTGGGAACAAACTGGTTATATTTTCAGCGAGGATGGTATTTTTGAAATTAATAATTAAAGGTATACTTGTGCCCAATGAATTAAATGTCATCATATCATCAAGACATCTAGACAGACTCAAAAAGTGAAATTTACCACTATGTATCTACAGTAAATGTCAACAGCCTGAAATCACAGCTTCACATTTCCACTTGTTGTGACCAAACACATCAATGTCCTCACATGACATCAGTGCAACTGCACTGCAGAGGGGTTTATACATCTTCAGGTCAACTTACAAGTTTCCTCAGCTCCTAATGTTAGAGTTTAAATTTGTTTGAAAGCCAAGAAGAGCAAATTAAGAGCAGTTTGATCACTGAATGTTAGAAAATTAACACACCTGGAGCCTATGTAAGACACAAGTCAGTCAGTTTTCTGACCTGAAAATCATAGCACCAGTAGACACTGTTTAAGATAAAATGTGGAGTTAAAGCGTCATTAAAGCAGCTTCAGGTTGTTAGTTTTAAAGGATAATTCCACTATCAAAAACTGAAGAGCTGTGACACCTGTCCTGGACTTGTACACCCTCGTTATCTTAACGTTTCTCCTTAAACTACAGTTTAACTGTCCATGAAGAAGACACTGCATTCCTCTGTTATTAACGGTCGCGAAGTTAAGCGATTAAAGCTGTTTACACAACCCGAATAAGACCAGCAATGTTACTTTGAATAAATAATTATATTGCGGTGTTATTTGTGATCGTTTGGTTGCCAGTTAGCCTGTAACTTCCGAACATTTAGCCTGTGTTTTACATATCTTAGACGCCAGTAAATAAGTTCAAATCCATCGTTTAGAGATCTTTATGTCGTAAGTGAACAGAGTGATGCTTGTAGCCGCTCACTGAGCGGACAGACAGTGAGGATTGAAGAGGATTGTGAGGGCTTGTAAGGTGAAGTGCTCTCTGTGTTACCCACCATCTTGACTTGGACCGGCGGAAGAGAAACACCGGATGTTCATGCAGGAAGTTTATAGTTTACAACCGCTGCTGCCACCGCACACCGCCGCGTGTAGCCCACAGCGACGACTAGCGGCAGGAGGTGAGAAGTGCACACAAAGATCACTGGTGGATAAGGTTATTAAATCCTTTAATTGAGTTAAAAAAAAGAAGTGATGCCGGAATTCCAAAATAATCCCTTACAAGTAATGTCCCTGCATTCAATTACCTATATAAATATATGTTTTATACACATTTCACTGGGACTGCACTAATTGGTAACAGCTTGGGTCAGGGGCGTAAATATAGACAGGGTAGGCAGTGTGGTTGCAGTGGGGCCCATGGGATGAGGGGGGCTCATACAGAGAGCAGGCCCGTATTGGCCAGAGAACAGGCTCTTGTAAGGCCCTGATCACACAGAAAGCATTTCAGCAGCTGGAGGTGCCTTTTTGTAATTGTTTTTAATGAGACTTAAGCTTTTTGCTTGTGTTTTTTTGCATCACAACATGCCTCACATTTCTGTGTTCCAGGTGCCTGGTGTTTTTGCCACAGCACCCTGAACTCTAGTTGAAAAAACTTCAACTCAGAGCAGAAAAACACCCCACGTTAATTTTCCCATTGTCCAATCAGGTGATTTGAGAGGCGGGCCTTCTGTGGTGGTCAGGACAAGGAGTTTATAATTGGTAAACACTGAAGAAAAACTGGTGGTAGCAGTTGCTGGATACCCAGAGCTATATGACCTGATGATAAACAGCAGGTTGTCAAACTGCCCCTGTGTTATCCTAAAATGTGCCTGGAAACGGCCATCATGGAGGAGAAGCTCCTGGACCAACTGGTGGTACTCCCCATGATCCACCCTCTTTTTTTAGGGTCTCATGTACCCACACAGATCTCTGTTTCCCTATCTGCTGACCCTCACCCTCAACCAGAGCTACAGCAAGTACCCTCTGCCTCAACATTTTGGGAACTAGCTACTAATTACTGTGAAAGACAAAAAACAAACATAAGTTTTATTACATGGAAAGATTAGTGTAAGGACGTCAGGGGGTGGCTGCCTGGCACCAATAAAAAGGCACAGCAAGTATTTGTTTTTACTAGTGGTATTCAATTTAAAAAAAAGGCAGTCTGGTGCACCTCAAGTTTTGCAACCCGCAAAATGCTTTCTGTGTTCATCAGGATCTTATGTTGTTAAATTTCTAATAACAGGGAAGAGAGAAACATTGGAGAATAATCCTGTTATCATGAACTCCATGTCCTGCTGAGGCCCTGTGACCTCATATGAGGACATCACATTTTTGGTTTTCTTGACCTAATACTTTTTTCTACTTAACTCAGACCTGTTGTCATCTAGTGGTATTAAGAGCACAATACACTAATCCATGTAAAAACAAGATGGCAGCCATCTCTGCCAAGTCAGCCTGCAGCCAATCCTAACACAGAAGTGGACAAGGTCCAAAACCTGATCACATTTTATGGTTGAAACTTGTTTATTTATAATCAATAAAGTTTAAAGTTTGATATGGCAACAAATTTGACTAATTTTAGCAACAGTAACAAGCTAAGACACTGTTAATTAGGAAGTACTCGTTTGAGGACACTGGGACTTTATTGTGTGATTTGAGGACACTGGGGCTTTACTGTCGTCTCATTTGACAACACTAGGATTTTGTTATTGTTGAAAATATTTAGTCTTTTATATTTATCAGGTCCTACTGATCCCAAATAACTAGGAGAAATTGCATACCAGGGCCATTATTGTCATATCGTTTGAGGACATTTGGAATTTATTATCGTCTAGATTAAGGACACCGGGACATAGTCTTGTTTGAGGACATTGGGGCTTTATTGTTGTCTCCTTTGAGGGCATAAGGACTTTATTGTCGTCTCGTTCGAGAACACTGGGACGTGGTCTCGTTTGAGGACATTAGAACTTTATTGGCGTCTTGTTTGAGGACATTGGGACCTAATTATCGTTGTCAATGTCTAGTTTTTTTACTTATCAGGTCCTACGAGTCCAAAATAACTACGAGAAATTGAAAATGCATACCAAACAAAAGCTTGACTCTCAGGAGGATATATAAAAAGAAAAAAAGTCCCCTACTCTCCAAACGTATACACAGTTTACTTCAGCCACACGATTAAAATCAGATGTTTAATTTAATCTGAAAACAGACAAGATCGGATAAGAAGTTCCAAAGCTTCAGACTGAAGTCTCGACACAGGCACTGAGCATCTAAAGAAAACACAAGTCATGTCTGCTCTGACATTAGCGTCAACTATCTGGATTCATCATCAAAGTCAACTAATACAAAATCACCTCAGAGACGTTCCCACAAGGTGGAGAGATCTTTTATTTTACATAAAAAAGGGTGCAAACTGGAGTTTCCCTTTAGGTGTGGAGGGAATAAAAAGTGATTTTATAAGGTTCGTGTGTGACACATTGTATTATATGAATCCAAGGAGGAGAAGAAAAACAAAACATAGGCATCTCAGATAAAAAGGACTTTTACCTTTCTGTAAATTAAAAATATGAAACCATAAAAAGAAGAAATGTGGGTCCTTCATTCTTGAAGCCCTTGACTAACTCATTCAAATACATTTTTGAAGTGACATTCATATTTCAACACAATAATATTTATTTACAGTTTTAAGATTTCTCTTAATCATAGCTCTGAGAAAAAGAAAAAAAAACAATGCTGAGGGGAGGATAAACTCTTGGAGCTGTACAATTTGATTTTCCACAGTCTGAGAGGAAACAAAAACAAAATCAAAAAAAAAATCAAATAATACATCTTTTATATGGAATCCCAACAGAAAGAACAAAGAGTATAATTGTGAACTCTGTACAATTTACAATTTTCAAATAATCATCACAATATTGCAGTAAATGTCACCCTAAACCTCTCCCTCAAAGAAAAATATACAGTAAATCCGAGACAATTCTACAGTACAGCAACAAGGAAAAAAGTGCCAGAGAACCCATAAAGACCTAAAGCCATTCATTCACACTTTAACTGTCCTTTGCTTTGATTTACACAGCTTTGACACACAGGAATGTGATTTACACACAACCAAAGCCATAAACACGAGTCTGACCGAAGTGAAGTATCATCAGAAATAATGGGAACTGAAATGGAATGTGCTGTGAGAAGACATGAGAAAGTTATTTATCTTACATGAGGACTGGAAGCCGAAACATCTCACTGACCCGACGGTGCGTGAGCCCGACAGGTGAGAGAGATTCACTGGAGACAGAGGCCGCGGCTGTCGTCGCCAGATAAGCCATGCAGATACAAACCATACAGAGTACTCCTATATTGCTCTGTATGAGGCCCAGAGAGTAAAAAGTAAATACATCAGAGTAATATATCTATATCTACCATTTCAGCCGGGAGCTTAACAGCTAGGCGACCCAGAGTTTAAGAAGCAGATGTTGCAAAGATGACCAGTCACAACTCTGAAATAATGGTCGATAAAATGCTATTGGTTTCAACATAAGAGAAAGAAACCAACAGGAGCGACTCATAAAACACTTTTTTCTCCCCAGACACTCTTTAACAACACTTCCTGGTACTGAATCTGAGTCATGTTGCTCTGCAATTTCTCAAAATGACAGTGGACACGTCAAGGACACAAGGTGGAATGGTCAAAAAACATTCAACTTCATATTTTTCCTGGCACAGGTAAAAGGCATGGGCTAGTAGTAGTAGTAGTCTCAGGAATGGCACTCAGGGAATTCAGGGGGGAACGTTGAAGGCTATATAGTCTGGATATCCATCTCACTACACAGAAATACTTTCAACTTTTCTCAGGTAGCTGAAACGAAACAGTCCAAGTGCCGCTGATGCTTTGTGGGGGACGATCACAGGCAGCAGATGTTCACAGGTTTGGTGTCTGAGCAAATGAGGGATTTCACCGACGACAGATCAAAGTACACTAACGGTGATTTTTCACAGAGACGAAAATGTGATTTTAAACCTCCAAACCAACATCAGACTGCAACTGGGTGAAAACACCATCCCGACCCTCATCCGGTCGTTCACACCAGCTAGCACAGGACTCCACAGGTGAGTCTCACACCTGTCCGACACACTCAAGAGGCACTAAGACATCTCAAAGAAATGAATACCTGTCATTCAAATAGCCCGTTTTCCCACCATTCCCCTCAAATCCTATGCGTGGAATTACTATGACAATGACCAAGGAAATAAAAACAAACAGAAAAAAGGTCCCGTAAGATTTTCATATTCAAGTACTTTCAATAACACAATAACTTAGACCGCGGAGTAACTGACATGTCGGGGAGGGGGGGGAGGGGTGAGAAGAAACCGAAAGCTATACAGTGTAAATACACGCAACAAGCAGGTTTACATACTGATTCATTGAGATAGTTTGCAACATCTACAACATTTCTAAAAGATGATGGAGCAGGTCCACAAAACGTCAAATCTAACACTCCGACACCAAGATAGATTTGTCTTGATGTTATTTGTGCGAACAAGTCAACAATACATGTGTTAATGTGTCATCTGTAAATATAAAACAACTTCCACAGATAAAAAAAAAGAAAAAACTGTTTTTTATAAAATGTATATGCAAACACAAAGACTAAAAATAAATGTTTAAATTTAATAAATTCAAATAAATCTTAAATTATTTAAATAAATTTTATTAAATTTAATTACATTTTTAAATTCCTAAATTTTAAAATATAAATTTATGTGAATACATTTAATTAATTTACAAATAAAAAATCGTTCCATCCTAACATTTACAACTTTCAAGCAGATATTAATGAATCCAATTTTTATTTTTGAATCTCAAGTCTACACTTGTGAATTTGTATTTTACACATTTTTTTTAAACACTTTTTTAAAAAAATTTATTTGTAAATTAATTAAATACATTCAGATTTTTTTTCTTAATTTGTGGAATTTATTTTCTGTATTTGCAGATCTGTTTTATATTTGCAAAATAATCTTTTTTTTTGTATTTTCAGAAACTGGTTTATATTTAGATTACACATTAACACATGGATCGTCGATCTGTTCACACAAATAATATGGAGACAAATCTATCTCCATACTCTGCTCAGAGTTTAATCATCTAGGACTTGCATGTGTGAGTGTGTGCATTTATGTGTGTGTGTGTGTGTGTGTGTGTGTGTGTGTGTGTAGAGAGGAAAGGGTGGATGTTAGGGAGGAGGGTGTCATGGCACAAATAAAAGGAGCGGGTGGGGATAAAAGTCAATTTAAAGTGTATTCCCTGCACCCTATAGGAAAAGGCCTAGCACACGAGGCAGCTACAATTAAAGTAAATAAGCACGTTTAAAGTACAGTATTAAGAAGGCAGGGTCTCGTCAGGGAAAGCCGGGGTCAACAAATGTAGTGCAGTCATGGTCTCAAGCTTTTTTTTTTGTTACCCTCTCTTTCCCCATAAAACCATGGCTATTTGGAATGGAAAAAAAAATAAACAAAAACAAAAAATTCACATTAGCAAGATATAAAATAAAAAAATAAAACACCTATGTACGGTAATTCACTCTCTGTTCGGAGGATAGGCAAGGTGACATATCAAGGATATTGTTTCAAGGCAGTCCTCCATGACACTAAATGAAAATCATAAAAATGCTATGGACACTTTCACTTATCCGCCCTCGCTGGTGTTTCCTCCCTCAGCGTCGAGGCTGAGAGGGGCCGGTGGGTTCAGCAGAGTCGTCCAAACTTAAAACATCGCTTTGCAGCACAGGGGGTCTTCAGACTTGACACGCAGGGGGAGGCGGGGCGGGGGACATCTTAACACCATGACACCAAACCTTCCATTTGGCATCGCTCTCTCTCGGGAATACATCCTCAGTGTTACAAGGGAAGTCATTAACTGCTCTGATACTAGCTGGGGAACAGTCCGCAACTTTGGGCTTTATTATACAAGCGACCCCAAAGAATTGCGCTGCAGATCATCATCATGCTACCAGCTTGTTTATCCAAGTGGTGATGTGATGTGGTGGTCGGTCGGTTGGGGTTAAGGCATTGGACAGTAGCGTCGAGAGGCTGTGATTTCATCTCCAAAGCACATCACGCCAGTTTCTCTTGTCGTTCCAAAGCAACATCCCCCAGTGTGTACTGGTGTACAGTCCGTTATTAACCATCACATTATTAAGACCCTCCCACCCTCTGATCCAGTTCGTTTTGGTCTCACTTTTTTCCTTTTTTTAAACATTGGTCTTAACTCAAATTGCAATTTCCTTCCCATGCGCATGACAGATTATATAAATGCTCCACAGTCATTTATGTTTCTGTCCATACATTCAGTGTGTATGTTTTAGAATTAGTAAGAAAACTGGTGGCAACCAAGAGATAAATAGCATAAATAGCATTTTTTTTTTCCAGCCCCATGTACAAGTGTCAGGTTGCTGCTCATTATCACAAAGCCGACAGGAGCAAAACTGCATGTGAGTCAAAAAGAGACTGTAGTGTGTCTGACAGCGGCGTGGTTAAGGGGAGTGCTTTAACCAAGCAGCGTGAGCAGAAATCGTCCTCAGAGAGCACAGTGCAGGAGGCGTCTCTGGTCTTCTGTTCTCTCAGGCCCGGGGTCCCAGTGCCAGGGTTGACCTCTTTGGAGGAAAAAAAGTGCAGGGGCCAAATGGCAGATTGATGCTCTGTGTGCCTGAAGGTAGGCAGTGACACTCTTGGCTCCTCGTGTGTTCAGGTTTACATTCAGTCCCACGTCAGGAATGACCAAAAGGGCTTTGTGTCAAAATGAGTTAGCAAACTAACGCGGGGCGAACCGTTTGGAACCGGGACTTGACAGAAGGGGAAATGAAAACAGAAATCATAGCAGGCTGAATGTGGCAAGATTCCACAGGAAGATCGGTATCTTCCTTTACAATACCACATTAGAAAAACAGGAGCAAAAAAGATGCCAAAAACAAAGAGAGAAAAACACAAATGCTGGGTGTCTTGGGGACGAAAAAACAAAAACCTCTGCAAAAATTCCAACAAAAATGTTCCCCGTTTGGACGACTGGCCTGCAAAACATTCCCACACATCTCGGGAAAAAAAAAAAAAGAAAAAAAAAAAAAAAAGAAACAATTAAAAAAGGACTCCCATCAAAAGACACAAGCATCTTGTATATCTCAACAAACCATTTTTAAACGGGTCCCATTAGAGAACAATTCAATCACGATCTTAAAGTTGTCTCCCTCTTTTTATTCAGAATGGGACCTTATTGATTTCTGAAATCACGATCAACTGAGCCGGACACTCTGAACTTTCAGGCCGGTGGTGGATGATCATTTGTGCCTCGGCGTGTTCTTCTTCCGTTTTCGCTTGAAGAAACAGCAGCACCTGCGGACAGAGACACACATTAAACCCATATGTAGACAAGCGAGGCTCCAGATGAAGCAAAAAGAAACAACAAACACGAGCGGACTGCTTAAATTAGTAGGTTAAATATCACAAGGGCTGAATTTGGGTCCTTCAAATCTGGACAGAGTTTTGGGACCACAATAGTGAGAACTGCAGCTGACGAAAGGTTTGATTAGTAAAACATTAGCATCAAGGACGAGGTGGATGCACTGCCATCCACCAAGTGTTTGCATGCTTCTTCACCTCCAACTACAAACTGCTGCAGTGACTCTGAAGGCAATATCTCTCCTATGCAAAAAGACAATGGAGCAGTGCACACAAAGAGCACAAGACATGGTGAGCCTGAATGGTCAATAAAAACATACAAAGACAAGAAAAAAGCTGTGGATCAAGACATAGGACAGTGACTGGGTACTCTCAGATTCATTAATTAATTAATAACGAATAATGGTGCACCATGCAACAAGAGTTTAAAGACCTTTAATCTGAAGCCAAATGTGCAGATAAAAGAGTGATTTATTAATAACATTACAGGGGCTCACAAAAAGGACGATTTAGGCCCTGTCTACACATATACAGAAACACAGATATTTTTGAAAACTGATATTTTCCTCAACGTTTTGACTTCTCGTCCACAGGCAAACAGAGTTTTAGGTCACTAAAATGAAGACTGTTTAAATGCCTTTTATGGTGCCTATTTATCAAAACTCCAAATACCCATTATTGCTTTGTGTAATGAGCACACGCTGGAAAAGAACTACCGCCTTGTATTTATATGCCTCTGCAAACCAGTCAAGCTGAACTTACAGTTTGCATCCATGTCTGTGAAAACACGGATGCTTCACACACATCTTCAACGCGGCAGCACAGAAGTACAGTTTCAAAGTGGGCACCCAATATTAGTGTCACCAATTCAGTATCCAATCAAATGTCTCCCTTTCCGTTCCTGAGTTGTGACGCTAAGTGATGGCCAGCAAAGTGTTTTTGCAGATTATTATGATGTCACAGTGAAGCTGACCTTTGACCTTTTGAATATAAAATATCATCACACCATCGTTTTATCCTATTAGATATGTGTGTGAAATTTTGTCATGATTAGCATATAAATTCTTGGCCAAAAACATGTTTTGTGAGGTCACAATGACCTTGACCTTTGACCTTCAGCCACCAAATTCTAATCAGTTCATTGTTGAGTCCAAGTGGACGTTTGTGCCAAATTTGAGGAAACTCCCTCAAGGCCTTATTGAGATATTGTATTCACAAAAATGAGACAGATGCCAGGTCACACTAACTTTAACTTTTGACCACCAAATTCTAATCAGTTCATTGTTGAGTCCAAGTGGACGTTTGTGCCAAATGTGAAAAAATTCCCTAAGCGTGTTCTTGAGATTGGAACAGAAAGACAGACAACCTGAAAACATAATGCCTACAGCCGCGGCTTTCGCTAGCGCAGAGGCCTAACAATGGCGGACTACTGATTTGCTAACATTTTGTTAGCACTGCTTAGTCTAATTACTACTTTACACTACAACTGAGTACTGTTGCACCACTTCACCGATGATCAGAGCCATCTGCTGCACACAATAATTTTGCTCCACCTCAGTGTTCGCAGTTTAAAGTCTGCCAGAGAAGATGGTTTAGTATCTGGCCTGGTAAAACCAGCAGATGGTGGTGCATGTTCCAAAGTGGGATTGTTGTTGGTGAGGAATGGAAGGAAAACTTTTGAATAACAAGAGCATCAGTCATACCTTTGTCCGTCATCCTTAAATTAAACGGGAATCAGTGGTGAAGAGATCTCCAGTGCGCGTTTTGATAAAGGTAATGTTAGCCTGCACACTACTACTACTACTCCTACTCCTACTACCACCTTTGTGACAAGAGGAAACTGCTTAATACAGCTAACGCCAGCAAGTATTTGGGGTAGTTTTTGCATGCTAGTGTGGCCGAAGACATTTTCTAAAACAAGTCATGTGGACAAAATGATTTTTCAGTTTTCAAAAATACCCATACATGTGTAAACAGGGCCTCAGCTAGCTCATATCAAAGTGCTTCTTGTTTATTCTTTCTGCCCTGTTAAGACATCAGGTTTGAGGCTGGTATGCCAGCTGACATGGCAGCACTGTTTACAGTATTCTTTACTCATTTGTCACTTAACTTCAGGGGTTGGTGGAAAAAAAGGCAGAAAAGGGCAGAGACTTGATAGTACACATAGGAGACAGTGTTCTCAGGGGTATATGACATTATCGCACCAGTGAGAGTCTAGTTTAAATTTGTTAGCAACAACTCCACTGGGCCCCAGCCTAGGCTGGTCCACTCCCTGTCCCATGAGTCTGATGTGGACTAGCAGAGAGGGACTCACCACAGGTTGAGCATTTTCACGCAGCTACAGAAGAAGAGAGAGGAAAGAGTGTAAAGAGAAAAGAAAGATAGATTAATACAGCAAGACCAAGATGATGGGACTGGGCACATGCCACACAAAACATGCACACAAACACACCCACAGGACAACAGTGGACACGAAGAGGGAACGTTTGGGAGGTTACAGGAGAGAAGATCACAGAGAGGGTTACAGAACATCTACTCTGAGTGAGCAGAGTCCACGAACACCATGGGTTGACCATTTCCTCCCATTTCCTGGCTATGCAGAGGTTATGGTATCAATATATGTGGTGCAATGTATGCTACATTTGCTATAAGGCCGTGCATTTAACTGCCTTTTTAAAAATTACCTTGTCTGCTTCCTAAAAAAAATCAATTGCTCATGGGATTAAATTGTCTAGTTTCTGATATTTGTCAATGTCAGACACTGAATGCCCATCTGCACCTTGATAAAGGTTGCTGAATCCTTTGAAAACAACAACGATGGATATTACTGTGAGATTGGGTTGACCCAACTATTCACAATAAATCCATTATTCATTTTGTGTATTAAGTCCTTAATCATATAAAATCAAGATTATTTGAAAAAAAAAAAAAAAAAACTTTTTAATTCTCTCTCTAACTCTTCCCTTAACTACTGATTGACTAAATCTGGATGCATCAAAACTTCAGAGGCAACTTCAGTATTTTTCAGCCTGGACCCTATTTTCACATGTTTTTGTGTCTAAGTGACAAATGGAAACAACAATTTTTGAAATTGGTCCGATATTGAGCTAGAGCACAACAGCTGGTTGCCGCAAACAACCTGCTAAGACCTGCAATGGAAATACACAGATGTGTGTGTCTGTGTGACACACGTGTAAGTACTCTTTCCAAGTAAACACACTGATGCCAGTTCAAAACAAACAGTAAGGAAAGATTTCAACTATATGGTAAGTTTAAGTTTAATGCGTTTAATGTAAAAAGAAAACAAAATCCCATTACTGTTGTAAATGCTATTTATTATTGCAATTTTTCAATCTGTCCAATGACGGTCTGTCAAGCTGGAGAAATTTTCACCGTAATGTGACCGAAAATATTTAAGACCGATCCAATCTGAATTTAAGACAATTTAAGACATTTCACGGACCTGTAGACAACATGTGGTCACATTGGCAATAGCAATTTCAGGGCTCTTTCTGGTTAAACACAAAAGATATCACTCTTAAAAGGTCGACCATAGGGGCACTTTCGATAATGTTGTTGGACACTTACAATAACAATCTGAGCTGGTCAGTGGCAAAAACAAGCGCTGACCTCACGCCACAAGTGGTTACATCGCAGCCTGTTTCTCAATACAGGACCAATTTCAAAAACTGTTGTTCCCATTCGTCACTCAGACTGAAAAACATGACAAAATAGGGTCCAGGTTGAAAAATAATGAAGATCCCCTTTAGATGCTTTACCTAGACAATGCTTTAGTAATGTGTAAGTCAGATGCTAGCTAATCTGCAGCCCTATCTAATCCAAAGTAATCAACTATGTAAACAGGAAGTGACTGTAGCATCACAAGCTGAAACAAAACTGCCACAAATAAGTTTCAAGAGGTCAAAATAACCTGTAAACATAACTGTCAAACCTCTGTAAATGTATGATTCTGTTTTATTTATATATAGATATGTAGAGAAATGTGTGTGTTCAAGAATCAGTGATGCTCCTGCTCTTTAGAGTTATTGGTAAATATTTGAATAAACTAATTTAACTAAAGCTAATTAGTGTTTTGCTTATTAGAATGTTTTGTAATTTAAGGCATATTTAACTCTATATCAGCTGCAGATTAAATGTATATTAACATTTTAAAAACTACAGCATCACTGACAGAGACCAAGTTTGACCTAATCCTGCACAGACTTCAAATTATTTGTGTTGCTGTTCGACAGTCAAATTTCAGCCCATGAATGTTAATAGAAAAAGATCAAAGAGCCAGCGCTACATGTGGCATTAATTCACCATGGGATGCGAATATTCCCTCAAATGGCAAAACATTAATTAAATTGCATCAGACGAGTGATTTGCATTCATTACTTCATGTTCTTATATCAAACCTCAACTTGTGTGACAAGGTATCAAAGACACTGGCAGCAAACACGCCAATCATCATATCAAACAATAGTGTGAATGGAGACAACAGCGGGAAGAGGCCCGTCATCTGGGCAGAAATAGAAACAAGCGCAGATTAAAGTGAATGAACCTCTGGGAGATTCATGAGGAGACTCGGCAGAAGGGAATCTTTTTTTTTTTTTTTTTTTTTTTGTACAGTGGCTTTGATAAAGTCCAGTGGGACATACGGGAAATAAAATCTCTGCAATATGTTTCAAAATAACTGAATATGTTGATGGATGTTTTATCTCAAGATATACAGTACAAGATGTATTTGGTGGAATAAACGTGACTATTTTATGTTACAGTCGGATGAAATGTAACATCTACTTTGATAATTTTCCATTGAAATGGCCAGCTGGCCCGATGATGATGATTTTTTTTTACATTACCTGCTGAATGGTCCACTTATGCAGCACTGCCTTTGAATTAAGATCAGCTAAAACATTTTGTGGACACTTAATACATAATTAAACACAAAGAAATCTGTTGGAATTTAAGAAATGCGCTGCTATTTTATTAACCAGTTTTGGCGTTAATCTACACCCAGTATTTACTAAAGAAAATTGCATTAGGTACTGGTATTTATTCAGATGGAGCACCACCACCAGTGATGCCTACCACTTACACATCCACAACCCCAACTAGGGCCACTAAGGTAATATTTTACATCCTCACATTTTCATCAGGTCTGGCACAGGTGATCTTGGCTGTGCTGTTATCATGTTTCCACCACAGCCTCACAGCAGGGATTACCTGGGCAGACCTGCGCTACTGTGGTCCTGCTTGTTAACAAAGCTGACCAGGAACCGATCAAGAAGATGGCTAAAAGATGGCTCTTGGACTAAAATGATAGGCTCAACACAAGTGTGGTTGTGCTGGTGACTTGCACCATTTTTACCAGGGTTCCTACAGTTGAGGGTGAATTAGATCTAAGACTTGTTATGACTGTTTTGTCGCCGTGTTCAGATGAAGGTAGAACAAAACTGCAACATCCTGACCGGCTCTGTATTGACCCTTTGAAACCTTGAGCCACATCAGTTTCCTTGCACTGCTTTCAGACACCTTTCACACGTATTTAAACTGTTTGCACCTTGTGTAAATTGGTGTGATATCTTTAAAAAACACGGGGAAAAAGGCAATGAGCAATTTGGTAAGAGATGTCCCACAAATTGCAAAAAGTTAATGGATTCAAGAAATTATTTTTAAAAAAATGGGTGGAAAAAGCTAGGGAAAATGTATTGTTGTTATCACATATTTAAAATTATGGTACAGAATTATCACATTTTTAAATCACCTTTTCCAGGTCATTTCCTTGTTTGTTTGTTCTTTTCTTTCACAATGTTTTTTGTTTTTAATTTTCTCTATACAATGATTTTTTGCAAATTCTTGAGTCCATTCTCATTTTGTTGCTCATGACTATCTTACTATGTTTTTGGAAAAAAAAATCAAGCCAAGTAGCTCAGGTTTCAAAGGGTTAATGTTAGAGGCATGCTGTAATTTATTTTAAAAAGAATTAGTTGTTATTAATTATCTTGAGATTTTACAATGCAACATCAGATCAGATCTGCGTCACATGACTTAACATTTCTAAAACTTTTGAAAGACCGATTTAAGAAATTCTATTACAAATTAAGGCCTTAATATTAAATTAATGAATTTTAAGACTTTTTAAGGATCTGAAGGAACCTTGTTTAACTGTCTTGGCACATATAGCTCTCAGTACTTGGCAGCTTGTGACTGAATCTCTGAATTTTGGAGTTAAGTTTCACTCTCACATTTTTAGTTTTCACTTGTAGCGAATAAAAATCAGGCTCACTGTTAACTGTAATATCTAACAGCCTCTAATTCCAAGTTCAAAGCACTTACTTTAATTAATATATATACATAATATATATAGAGAAATATATATATATATATATGTGTCTCAGAGAGTTGTATGTCTCAGAAGAGCTCTCCTCAGTATTTCTCAGTCAGCTGAACCTTGTGACATTCAGCCAGCAGCGCAGTCTTATCACAGTGGGCGGCCAGCCATGCAGCATGGCATCAGTCCAGCTGCTGGCGCTCAAGACTAACACCAGTAGCTGTTTAGCTGGTGCTACCAGCTCTAAGATAAACTGAATGAAACCAATGCTAATGACAGTGGTTTCCATGTTTTTCATCCGATGTTGACTCTCAGGGAGAGACAGAAGTGACGGATATGATGACATCATGTGCATAATCTTTGTACATGTGACTAAGTTACCACATGGACAATCTGGTGTGTTCAACTGGCTGCTACTGCAATACACTGACAGGATCTGTATTACTCTGATTATTACTGCTACTGTTAAAGACATGTTGATCAGGTTGATCAACAGTGGGGTATTACTTATAGATGGTCAGGCTGCTAAAAGGTAAAATGACATCCTGAGTGGCTGCCAGCGAGCCTGTGTTTGGGGTCGACAGCAGCAGGTATGAGAAACTGAATTAGCTCCTGCTGAGAAAATGATCTCCATCAGCTTTTATTTCTTTTGAGAAAAAAATCTAATTGAGGGAAGAGCATAGAGACAGGCAGCAGTCAATTAAAAAATCCACACAGTCAGACAGGAGGTACGAGGGACAGGAGCAGGATGACAGCTGGGGGCTGTCGCAATTCAACAGCATAGCAGAAAGTGATGAGAGAAAGAGAGAGACAGGGAGAGGAAGAGCGGGAGAGAGAGGAAGCGACAGATGGACACGGAGGAGAGGTGTGGCGGGTGTGTGACACATACTTGGCCTCGTCGACCACTTCCACCTCTGCCTGAGCTGTAATGGGAGCGTTGGAATGAGCCGGATCGTCTGCGTTCAGCTCCCCGTTGGTCGAGCTGACCACCTGTGGCACAGATGGGTGTTACTTCAAAAACAGTGAAGACGTTGGCCTGAATCAGTGTGACAAACCGCTCCTGCTGTGATGGAGAGTCGCTCTGCTTCACAACTTAAGCATGAATGTTACTTTACCACTTCCACCACTGTCTCCTCTATGGAAACACGGCGGCAAAGAACGACACCACATCAATAACACAAAAAGAACAGAAACTTTTCCTTGCTTGTATTTTGTGTCTCCCTTTGATACTGTCACTGTCATTTAGAGCAAATCTGGAAAGTTTAAAATTTGGATCTCAACAAGAGATGGATGGAGGACTATAAAAGTTATGCAGTGGGATTTCAATAAACTGCAAAATCTTAATCACCCTTAAATGTTTTCTTTTAAACAGATAGTCTGGCTGGAGGTGTGGTAATTTTGTCTGAGTCAACGCCTGCTCTTCTTGCAGGCAGGAAACAATTCTTGCCAGTGACTAAAGCTAACAGTAATAGTTTCAACAAACTGAGTGGAGTGTTTCAGTTAGGTGTAGGTTTGCTGCAGCTCCACGTCTATCAGCCTCAATCTCACAGAACAAACCTGAGGCTCACTTCTGTGTAAAGGTGTAATAATCGAAGCTTAAATCTTTGTACTTTTTATTTCTGCAGGGAGCTAATAGAACTGCTGATCTATATGAATCAAAATCAGAAAGACAAATATGAACAACAAGACACCAAACACCAACGGACAAATATCAAATTACAGTATGCAAACAAAAGCTATTGATGGTTGTCCCATTCACCTGTAGAAAAAATGCCGTTATAATTATTGTAAAAATGTGTTTTGGGTGCATAGGTGTACACAGTGTAAACCTTTGTTAATCTCAGCCATCCTGATACCATTCAGTTCCATTCATGATGCAACAGTGTAGAAAACTCTCCAGGAGATGAAGCTGCTAAACGGAGGAAATGGTTGCTTTGTTTTATTCAAATTACTATCACAACTCACCCAAACTCTGTTTTGGAGGAGACGAGGTGCAAGATGAGGGTCACATGACCACAAGAGGTACTGGAGCTACTACAGACGGGCTATTCTGTGTTCTTACTGTCAGCCGACCACAATGTCTGTATGAGCCATTAATTAAAAGTCTTCCATCTTCCATCGTCCATCTTCAAGCGGCGTGACTTCTCCTATTCACATGTATTGGACATGTCTGAGCCTTGAAAAATATTGTAAGGACGTTTTCCAAACTTCATCCTCAATCCTAAACTCTGACCTGCAACCCAACCCCCTGGTCACCACTGCAGAGGATGATGTACACCTGACTCAGATCCAATGCCACGCACTGTCTTCTGCCTCTCTGTTGGCCAGACGGGCAGTTCTAATCAGATGGAGGGATGCTGCCCCACCCACCCATGCCCAGTGGCTGAGGGACATTATGTCCTGCCTTAATTTTGAAAAATACGCCACTCAATTTGTAACTCCGATGAAAAATTCCAAAAGGTTTCCGGCCCATTTCTCAGTTGAACTGAAGATTCTGTGTTTGTTTCTTGGTCTTGTTGCTTTCTGTCAGTTTTACTCTAATAAAGTACCCCATTATTCTGAACCTGCCTTTTACATAGGCATCTCTCTGCCTCTCTTTTAATACTGAGCATAACTTTCAGCTCGTCCGTCATTTTTTTGTACCACTCAGGAGATGGAGGAACGTCCTATTGACGATATTCCGAGAGTTATTAGTGGATAATGGAATGGGGAATTGTGATTGGATTTCATGCTTTGTTCCAGTCATATAAATGCTTTAAGTTTGATACCTGTTGTGATGATGTATTGTGTCCTCCATCTTTGGGTTCAACTCAGTATTGTTTTATGGATTTAAAAAAAGAGAAGTTAATGAAAATTACATATTTTTTTTGGACTTCCACAGCATTGTGTTTGGATTTGCCTTCTTTATTTCTTCAGTAGGATATCCTCAACAGTGTTGGTGTTTGAGTCTTTTTCTGGGTCCCCCCACACATTAAAGAGTTGCTTTAAAAGATAAATAAATGGCGTATTTTTGCATGAAGATCTATGAAGGGTCAATTATCATTTTACTTTAAACATCTTCATATTACTTCATAAAACAGAGTCAAACCCATAGCTAATGGTGTCCTTTAAGCTAACAGTGTTACAAGCTCGCTAACATTAGCTCTGCTGCTTCTGTTGATCTCTTGGCCATCATCTTGCACACTGAATCACTTCCTCTACCTTTACACGACTCATCCTGCAATCAGAGTCAAATCAGAGCTGGAGAGACACGTTACTGCTGATGGAAAACAACCAGGAGACACTGTCCAAGTACACAGTGAACATTCATGGATGAAATACCTCCTGATGCGTTTGAACTTTCAAGTCTCCACACAGTTTCAACATGAATGACAGTGAATTGCATCAAGTACAACAGGCAGAGATTTCTTAAAGCCCACACTGTACACACCTATGCAAACAGAGCCTGTTACAGTCAGGGACAATCTTGGGTAATGGCAAGAAGTCAAAGTTACACCGGGATGTTCCTTTAAGCATAATGACCCTTTACGACTAAAGAGCATGCACTTAGCCGGCTAAGCCAGGTCACCCTGCCATGCAAGAGGCTTCTTGATCTTGCAAGGAATGTCCAAGCACCATGAAGAGTTGTGGGGACCTGAGATCAAATTGCCAAAACCAGGGCTGCTGTTCATCAAGCTAAATCACATTTTCACCATCTGGGGTGGGTGGCACCAGATGACATGCTTATGGTGGTGCAGAAAAATAACATTTCCCAGCCAGGGTAAAGGGGTGGGGGAGGTGTATGGTTACAGATCTGTCTCACACATGGGGCTAAAATACAAAATAAATGTCATGTATTGAAAATGTCTGATATCTACTATTGTACATTTATTTGTGGACCAGAAATGGTAACTGTTATTAGAAATACTAATAACATTCAGGAAATACCATTCTTTTCTGATCAATGATGAGCTGTAATTCAATATGGATTTCTAGAGATAAATAACAAAAAATGATTTATCTATACTGTATGACCTCAAAAGTATGTCTAAAGGTATCTAAAATACACTTCGATTTAAGGGTAAGTTTGGTATTTTTCAACTAGGACCCTATTTTCCAATGTTTCTAAAATGGTCTAGTATTGAGTGAGAGAGGTGCATCTTTGGTTTACGTCCACTAAATGAACTTGTTTTGACAGGCTTAGATTGTGGAGTTATATTAATCGTCATTTTTGTTGACGATACTTTTTGTTTAACCTGAAACAGCCCTGAAATCTCTATCACCATACACACCAAACTCCATTTAAAATATTGGTAATTTAACACCACAAAACACACTTCTTTCAAAGTTGACAGAAACAAAAAATTAAACTCACAAAACCATCTTGGTTCGTCTTTCCACTGGTCTAATAATAACCAACTCAAATTTAGTTGAAATAAATCCTTAATTCACCAAGTTAGATGTTTCTGGTTAAACAAAAAGGACCTAACGCTTTCAGAAAATGGTCTCTCTCTGTTGGGATCATTTCCATAATGTAGTCAGACACTGTAAAATAATCATCTAAATATGTCATTGGCAAAAGCATTTTTAGTGGACTCAAATCAACAACGCGAACATCCCCTGAGTGGTTACATTGCAGCCAGTCACTGCTGCTGGCTGCAGCCCTCTTGCTCAATACTAGACCAGTTTCAAAAACTGTTGTTCCCATCAGTCACTTGGACACAAAATCATGAGAAAATAGGGTCCAGGCTGAAAAATGTTAAACTTACCTTTTAATAATAGCAAATAAATTTAAGAAAAATGCAGAATCACTGTTTGTAAATGTCAAACTTTTCTTTAAAAACTGGTTCATAATGTTATAATGATGCACCTCAGTAGGTTTTTTATTTTTACTCAAAGTATTATTTATTCTGGATTAGATCCTATGAGACAGATCTGACTCCATAGAGATCACGTGGGGGTTGTGGTTGATCAGGTGAGGGGTGTATACCTGCACTGAGCCCCCGTGCCTGTCCGCTGCCAGGTGGGAGGTCAGATAGGAGGAGTTTGCTTGGCGTGTGGGCTGCACCTCCCATGCTCCTCGTCGATCTGAGACCGCTGTCTGCTCAGGAGTCGGGGGCGTCGGTGATGGGAGGGGAAGTGGGATCGGGGGTGGGGAGGTGCAATGGGAGAGGGTAGGGGTGGTGATGGAATAATTGCGTTAGGAGAGATGGATATTTGGGTGTGCGAGGCCAGGTACCATGCAAAGCGGCATGAGAAATGGAGAAGAAAAAAAATGTAACAAAATAAAAGAGTGAATCAAAATCAAAGCAAGGCTTCAGCCAAAGAACTGAACCAGAAACTAATGAGCCTGAAGCCAAACGGAGGTAAGCTTTGGCCTCATTCTCATTACACTTACATAACACAAAAATTAAACCTCAATTACTGAAGATATTTAACCTTTTTAATTTTTTTCCCCCACGAAACAAGTTGTCTTCTGCCGAGTTGTCTTTGTAACTGCAGTTAACAAGAGTAATTAAAGCATAAGTGTTTACACGTGTCAAGTACATTCAGCTGTAACTTCACTGAAAAGAGAGATTAATTGGCATAAACATTTTTTTTCACCCAAACCATATACAGAGCAAGGCTTTGCACCAAAGCCCTGAAACTTAAAAACTAAAAACATGTGCAAGGGTGAACTGCAGTCCCTTACAAATCCTGGCCGGAAATACCATTAATAAAACATCGTTGTGTCTAGATATTAACCCCAGATTCAGGAAACTCCTGCAAGACTTTATGTTGCATGTGATCATTTTAACCCAAACCATGATCTTTCCCTAACCCTATCCAGGTGCTTTTTTGTGCCTAAACCTTACCAGACTCTAACCGCTCTCACAGCATTCTCACACCATTAAACAGCAAGACAAGAATATTCTAAAGCAACTTGTAAGTGTTTCGCAAATCTAGGTTTCCCAGCAAGCCACAACCATGAAACACACCTGCACTGACAACCTGAGCACACTCTCTAATGGTCTGACCTGTTTCATCTGGTACAGAAATGAAATAATTCCTCCTTCACTGGCTCATTTCAATTAGGGATGCACCAATTTGTCAGCCCAACACTGGTACCGGCTGATGTTTCCCTTGCTGACTGCCATCAGCCCTTCAGCAAATAGGCAGTGGCCTATGTCTTTCTGTTGTGTCACATCAATTTTGCGCAGGCTAAAAAGCAGGACTCCAGACTAAAGGTGTCCCCTCACCCCGGGTGCAATAGAAAATGTGTTTGGGATAAACACAGATGTTCCCTGAGATGCCTTCGGAACGAAACGACACAGTAAACTTACTATCGACAAGTAAGGGGACACACCCTGTTGTTTCCCTGATACTGCTACATCGTGAACAACACATTTGTGTTAAAATCAGCAGGAGGAGAGCTAGTTAATGTTAGCAGTTAGCAGCTAGTGGCTGGAACTAACAGCTCACGGAGGTTGCATTGTGTTAGATTATGTTGTGTTCAAGCTATATTCAGTAAAAATGAGAACTGGGCAAAGGTAAATTTAAATGTTCTCTTGATGTGTTCAAATGTAATCTTGTAAAGTTCAGTTTTTAGCAAGAAACTTGAATAAATGTAGAAGATTTCTTTGTTTCCCTGATACGAAAGGGAAAATAAATAACAAAACAAAAACAACATAAACAACGACAACAAAACATCAGTACTGGTATCGGTTACAGCCAAATTATTATTTTAAATTTAGCTATCAATATTGGACCAGAATTTCACAATCGGTGCATCCCGAATTTCAATGTATTACAGTGTGTGAAGGATTATAAAGTACTATCTCAGTTATCTTTATCTTTGTGGGCTGCTGTCAATCAGAGGAATTCATTTCAGTTTCTGGTTACTAGCTTGATAGCACTCATAAAATACAACCTCACCATCAGAAATAATAGTTTCCATCAAAGCTTTGAAACTCGGCATGCATATTAGCTTTGTTTGGTGATAATGACGAGGTCCTGAGTCTTTCAAAGATGTTGTGTTACAGTTTCTCTCATTTGTAGATCAGGTTAAAAGTGACCCTAAGACTAGTGCTTTGTAGACGTCTTTACCAGCAGGGGGATTTGTGTGTACCTCACACATACATTTTAGTTTGTAATGCACTGGTTTTCTTGCTGTCACTGTAACGAAGGTCTGACAAAACAAACACTAATTATGACCAAGTATGGCATACCTGATTTCTAATGGGTGGGTGCTGTGATGGTCGGTCTCTGTGAGGATGGCTCTCTCTCGTCACAGCAGATGCTCCAGAGTCTATATGGACAGACCCCACTGGTGTGGGCTGAGGGGAATAATCAGCAGTTAAATGCTGATCAAGTCAAGCAGCATGCTAAAAACATTGACTGACCTAAAACATATCTGTTAGTAGTTTGTCAACGTTACTTACTATCTGCCTGCCAACCCAGTCGTAAGTGTAGTCAAAGGTGTATCCTTTTCGCTCAAACAGTTCAGTGAACAGAGTCCGCAGATATTCATAGTCGGGCTTTTCGAAGAAGTCCAACCGTCTCACATATCGCAGGTAGGTGGCCATCTCCTCTGAATTACACAAAGAGAACAATCAAAAAATGGTTTAACCTTCAATATGGATGATATAATTCTAGTTCTGTAGTGGGATGATGTTTCAGAACGTTTTATTTGGAGGGAAAAGGGTCAAATCACAGTCAGTCTCTATGTGATAATTTCTAAGCTTTACAGCCAGATCCATAAGGGCATTAAAGGCATCATCAGTGTACCTGGGAAGTTCTCACAGAGGACCTCGATGGGAGTGTTTCGTTTTGTGTCTCCGATCTTCTGGTATCGTTCTTTCAACGTGTCGGCCTGCAGTAGTATCAAACCAGAAAGATACATATGAGCCGATTCTGAAGTCTAATAAGCATCAATCAGAATTATATAATGACTTATTATTACTGTGTTTTTAATTTCTCTAATACAGATTGGTTAGAGGAAAATCTTAAATCCTGACTGTACAGTCTAATGGATTACACAAAATGACAACTGGTTAACTTCCAATACATACTCTGGTTGTAGCCTTATTTTCTTAATATTCAGTTCAGACTAAGGTGGAGAGGAAAGTACTGATAGCTTAAGTCTTTTGTATTTGCATTCTGCCACTTGTAGTGATACTTAATATGTATACAAAGAAGACAACATTTTTTGAATCTGCTCATAAACAACTACAAATAAAACAGTATCACTGATCTGATTCTCAGATTATGATTTAAAGGTTGCAGACTGTCATTAATGAATCATATCAGTTGTCAGATGTGTGCGAACACGTCCATGTACTTGGCATACCTTCAGTCCTTGCCATGGTAGACTCCCACGAAGGAAATACATGAACATGTGGCCCAAGGCCTCCAGGTCGTCTCGCCGGCTTTGCTCTATACCAACAGATTCAATATCATTTCACTCAGAAACTTGAAGAATGGAGCACCAAACCACGTTACATCATAAACACATCAGAGCCAAACCAAGCAAAGTTTTGAAACTGATCTCACCTTTGCCTAAATGCGTATTGATGGACATATATCGGGCAGTGCCAGTCAAGCTCTTATGCTCCCTGTATGGAATGTGTTTTTTGGTCTCGGGGTCGATGTACTCTTTGGCCAGACCAAAGTCGATGATGTGGATGATGTGTTCCTTTTTGTTTCCTTGCCGTCCGATGAGAAAGTTTTCAGGTTTCACATCTCTATAGATGAGGTTTTTCGAGTGCACGTACTCCATTCGAGAAATCTGGTGAGAAAGAATAGAGCGAGAAGAAGAGAGTCAGCAAAGAGAAATGTTGACAAAAATAAGATATAATCACAAAGCATCACAGAGTCAGCAAAATGGGAATCCAAATGTCTAAGTTACTCAAAATTGACATTTTAATGAAAGTTGACTGCTGCAATTATGTTTATATATATATATATATATATATATATATATGTGTGTGTGTGTGTGTGTGTGTGTGTGTTATATTAAGAATTATGTAATTTATAATTAATTATAATATTATTACTTTCATTAATGTTGTTGTAAGCTACTGTCATTACCGTTTGTCCTGCATCTCACTCTCTCTCTCTCTCTCTCTCTCTGTCTCTCTCTCTGTCTCATTGTGTCATACGGATTACTGTTAATTTATTATGCTGATCTGTTCTGTATGACATCTATTGCACGTCTGTCCATCCTGGAAGAGGGATCCCTCCTCAGTTGCTCTTCCTGAGGTTTCTATCATTTTTTTTCCCCCGTTAAAGGGTTTTTTTTGGGGAGTTTTTCCTTATCCGCTGTGAAGGTCCAAAGGACAGAGGGATGTTGTATGCTGTAAAGCCCTGTGAGGCAAATTGTGATTTGTGATATTGGGCTTTATAAATAAAATTGAATTGATTGACATAATACAACACGTAGATCTGAACAAACAATCTGATTGGTCAACTAGACATTTAGAACGTCCTCAAATCAGCACGACAGCACACCTTTCTCATCACAATATTACTCATTGTAACTTCCAGAGCTGAATCAAAAACCAATAGGCTACAATACTGATACAAAATGGAACATTTTATTGTTAATTTTGATTTATAATCAACTTTCTTTAATGTGCTATTAGACTCGCTGCTGACCAGCCCATTAATACAGGTGCGTGCCTCCCCTGTGTGCAGCAAGCCAGAGAGCACACAGTTTGTGACCGCAATGAAAACGTTGTTTGTGAAAGGCCAGACTCAATTAATAGGGACTGAAGCAGAACATTTTGTTCGATAAAAACATGATGTAAATCTTGGAAATTATTACACACACATATTTTGAAAATAAATTTTGACTTTGGGACTCAACAGTGCTCTGGAGTTAACTGTTTTTGGAAATGTTTGGATCACCTTGGTTCCACCACATTACTGTCGTGCCAATGATTATGGTAAAGCTCAACATTTCGTGTAACCCTGCTTAATTAAAGTGGCAGTTCATTTACAAATGAGTTAGTTACTTATAGTTACTTATAGTTAGGACTGTCTACGCAATCTGTAAAAGCAATTGTGTAATATTTTCCGTGGCTCTGAAGGGGGAGAAAAGAAAAAAAGAAAAATGACTAAAGTGACATCACCTGAGTCACTCAAGCTTGGAGACTACAAATGAAGGGCTGTAACAGTTTGTATATTTGTGCCAAACCATCATGGTCTGGGGGTCATGGTTCAGTGCACACAGCTGCACGCAAACACATGTTATGTAGATTGATGCACATAGTGTGAGCCCATGTTCTCAAGCGTGCATTCTGTCTGGAAACTCTCAGCTGTACGCTGTAAGCAACATGTCCTGAGGTTAGTCCAACAAGCAGACTGACGTGTGAGGCCCTGATCACACAGAAATTGTTTTGCAGGTTGAAAAATGCGAGGCACACCGCACTGCCTTTTATTTCTAATTGAATGCCACTAGTAAAAAAAATGCTTGCTGTGCATTTTTATTGTTGCCAGGCAACCACCCCATCATGTCCTTACACTAACCTTCTCCTATAATCAATGTACCGTTTTTCCCCCCCAGTAATTAGTAGCTGGTTACTAAAATGTTGAGGCAGAGGGTAGTTGCTGTAGGCAGAGGCAGAGGGAGACTGTCAGCAAATAGTTTGTTGGACACAGATAAACTGAGATCTGTGTGGGTACATGAGACCCTACAAAAAAAGGGTGGATCACAGGGAGTACCACCAGTTGGTCCAGGAGCTTCCCCTCAATGATAGCTGTTTCCAGGCATATTTAAGGATGACTCAGGGACAGTTTGACAACCTGCTGTCTGTTGTCGGGCCGTATAGCTCTGGGTGTCCAGCAACCACTACCACCAGTTTCTCATCTACTGTTTACCAACTGTAATCCTGTTGTTGTGACCACCACAGAAGGCCCGCCTCTCAAATCATCCGATTTAACAATGAGAAAAAAAGATGACGAAAAAAGAGTTGAGACATTTTTTCACTCTGGTTTTTCAGAGCGCTACAGCAAAAACACCAAGTGCTTAGAGCCCAGAAACGTGAGGCACGTTGCATTGCAAAAAACACGAGCAAAAAGCTTCACTAGAGTTAAAAACAATTACAAAAACGTGCCTCCAGGTACTAAAATGCTTTGTGTTATCAGGGCCTGAGTCAGTCACACTATGGTGAGTGCAGATGAAATGATGGCGCTCGAAGACCCGCCTGTGGCTTCCCAGTTAGCTACAACAGCAACGGAGAGAAAGTTGCATAGAAGATGAGGACGGTGTGTCTGGGTTGCTCCATTGTTACTTGTAGTGTATGTGAACGTAAACAAATCCAACATGCCAACGCACATTCAACAGCATCACCTAGATGTGCCATTGATTGGAAAAAAACCACACCGGAGCTGATCTCCTTATCTCTACTGCTTTCAAGCAGCCATTAGATGCAAAAGCATTGAAAGCAGTTATCACTTAGATTGCCATATAGCCAAGGTGGAACAAATTGTAACACTCTTGATGAAAAAAACTGCAACTTTAGTATTTTTACCTAACAAGTGATGAATCATTTACAAAACAATCAATTAATTTATGCTGACTGACCAATGTTTAATTCACTAACTGCTTCAGCACTATGCTGCACAGCTACCACAGTGATCAATTACTATCACACAACAAAAGCCTCTGTTGACATTGAGCCAGAATTTCAAGCCACTAACTGAGATGCAAAACCATCCTGCTGGGAATTAGGACTCGGAAAGCGCCAGCAATTAGGATCAGAATGACAATGTGTTTATAGATGTAAATCTTAACCAAGCACTCATAGCGAATACCTTCCAAGAAAGGATTTGTAAGAACAACAGCTAAAACACAAAGGGAGAAATAAGTAATGGTGTGAGTAATAAGATCCTTTACTTGGCTTTGATCTTGAGGGATCCTGATACCCTGAAACACTCTTTTCTTTCAGCTCACCAAAAAAAGAGGAGCGTGTGTAGGAGTACAAGCTCACAGCACTTATTGTGGGATTACTCACTTGTGCCAAAAAATAAAGAGGAAGACCTACGTGATAAATACAGAGGACAGATTGGCTGAGGCGCGGGCTTCAGCAACCCTCTGTTCTGCAACATCATGCTTATGTTGTGCTGTTTTGTAGGTTTCCTTACAAATTTGCAGGGGCTATCTGAATTACAAGAGCACTGCAAGATTTTCTGCTGACAAAATGAAATCCTAGAAATTTTGAGATGTCTGAGGCGCCAAAAAGACTGAGTAAAACCACCCTCTGAGCTGCTCAAACTTAATGAGATTGCGTGATGGCTTTGCTCTTTTTGACAGCCTACCTGACTCTGACCAATCGTACGTGCATACTGACAGCTTCTTAATTTGCACACTCTGCACTGGTACCCCACCTGCTCCATTACCCACTGGAGGCAGGACTTTGTGTGAATAATATAATGTATGATTTGCTGGATTGAATGCACCCAAACACTTTACAGCAGTTTATTCAATACAGTACAATATTTTGAACGAGGCTTTCTGGGACCTCACAGTATGGCAGAACCTGGCCATTATTTGAGACAGACATGCATTACTAATTTCCCATTTAGGTACATTTTATCATATCTATTATTGGCAACATGATGGCACGGACAGACGCAGTGGCTCACAGCTCTGCCTCTCAGTTACACTGATCTCTTGTGCAATATGATCGTATACCCAGAAGCATAATGTGCATTATAGCACGTGGGGATATGTGCAATGTTTTGTTTTTACATGTTTTTTACTTTCTTTTTATAGTTCAATTTTATTCATCTTATTTTTTAATCATGCTCATAATTTTGCTGTTTTGCACAGGCAAAGCTGAACAATTTTGTTGTTCCAGTGCAATGACAATAAAGGTCTATCCATTTAGTAGCTCTCCTTTGCCTTTTTATTTTGCTGCTTTTGCTGTTTGATTTTAAAGGAAACACGACATGTGCTCTGTCTTGACATGAAAGTCTATTCTTGACCTTGAAAACCGTTTATTTTTTTAAACTCTCAGTCCACTTATGTCTTGTTAACACCACCAGACTTTGAACGCTGGCAGATCACTGTACTACACAACTACACAACTTGCTGTTGTTGTGGTTTTCATACTACATGACTGACCAGCAACAGGGGGTCAAGCACTACAAGCTCTTTCACCAGGTATAATCCCAGATGAGTACGTCAGGTTTCCAAACTACGTTTTGTGACGAACACACATGTGAAAAGTGACACAACGAAATATTGTAATCCCATGTTAGACAGGACTTTTTTTTGTCACTGACACACGTATTCACAAATTTGCCTGTTTCCACATGTCTGTACTATTTATAGTCTGTTTTCTCTGGGGGCAACAACAACTTTGGTCCATGTTGCAAATGCAACACATACAGGCGGCCCATCCCCCAGGTTTCCCCTCAACCCATGTCTTGCGCTCTCATTGGCTGTAGCTTGCCTACAGGTCAGTGACAGGTCCAGATCATAGACTGTATAACAAAGACGGATGACATGACAACTCCCCAAAAGTGAAGCATAACATCTCAATAACTTCTGGGTGGCTGGCTGCAGTATAGGTCATAAACACTGTGCCCTCCATGTTGGCAGATTGGACATGGGCCAAACTAAAATATTTAAAGTACACATTGAATATTTTTTTCTAAAGTTGGTTTCTGTGAATTTAGGTAGTTTTTATAATGCTGCTGTATGTTCTTGACAGTAATTAGTATCTAGTTCCTAAAGTGTTGAGGCAGAGGGTACTTGCTGTAGCTCTGGTTGAGGGTGAGAGGCTGTCAGCAAATAGTTTGTTGGGCACAGGGAAACAGAGATCTGTGTGGGTACATGAGACCCTAAAAAAAAGGGTGGATCACAGGGAGTACCACCAGTTGGTCCAGGAGCTTCTCCTCCATGATGGCCGTTTCCATACATATTTTAGGATGACTCAGGGGCAGTTTGACAACGTGCTGTCTATCGTCGGGCCGTATAGCTCTGGGTATCCAGCAAGCGGTACCACCAGTTTCTCCACCATCGTTTACCAACTGTAAACTTGTTGCCGTGACCACCACAGAGGCCTCTCAAATCATCCGACTGGACAATGGTGGGAAAAAGATGAGAAAAGAGAGATGATGTGGGGTGCTTTCCTGCTCTGAGTTGAAGTTTTTTCAACTCAAGGAGTTCAGAGAGCTCCGACAAAAACACCAGGTGCTTAGAACGCAAAAAACGCAGGCAAAAAGCTTCAACCTCATTAAAAACAATTACAAACAGGCGCCTCCAGCTGCTTAAACACTTTCTGTGCGATCAGGGCCAAAGTGTCTATTTTTCTAATAAGTTTGGGGGTTGGACATCATGATTGACAGCTGTCCCTGCTATCAGGTATTAGATGTATGGGCAGGGACTCAATACTGCAGAAATTGCTTCTGCGCAGATGCTGGCTCCAAGTCACGTCACCAGAGCAAGATGGCAGCGGCTCTATCCCGGATATTTTAGCTTCATTATGTACAGTGGGAGGAAGTGGAGATGCATTGTCCATCTTCATATACAGTGTATAGTCCAGATATTTAGCCTGTTTGATATCTAGGATGCATCAGTGATGCATCGTGAGCTTCTCAGCTTGCAGCTTTGAAAAGTTCACATATAGCACTCAAGCGCTTATTTACGAGTGCAGAGCCAACACAGATTTGAGACTAATTTGGGGCTTTTGTTGTGATCCAAAAACTGTCAGTGAGTGGAAATTCAGGGCCAAAGTCATATAGTGTGAACTAGGTATTACTAGCTTTTTTCCAGAGCTTTCAGTCACATCCTAAGGTTTCCTTAGTTGTCACCTGAGTAAACTCTATCTGCTGAGAAAGATCTGTTTGAAAACTTGAGCAAATATCTGGACAGTAGACTACATGTTTAGAGTTCCTCCATCTGTTTCACATTAGAACCCATCTAGTGATTCAGGGGGCAGCATCCCCTCAAAACCCTGGAGGGCTTTAACCATGAAACACATGAAGGAAGTGTTTCATCAGTCACAATAAGTTAGTGGAAGCTATTTTAAAACAACTTAACGGTCATATAAAGCGTTGAACTCACCAGCTGAATAGCTATCATTAAGACAGTCTTCAGTGAAAAGGTCCTGTCACAAAGGTCAAAGAGGTCCTCTAGACTCGGTCCCAGCAGCTCCAGAACCATGGCATTGTATTTCCCACAGGGCCCAAAGTAAAACACCTGGGGCACGCCTTCAGCTGAAAACACAGGAAGAGAGAAATTAGACTTACAGGAGACAAAGATCCCAGCTGTGCGTGTCCTAACATTTGCCTAAATAATCCCAAGACTTTTTTGTTTAACTATGGATTCACAGATGCATTAAAGATATGTAAGATCATTGTAATAGCTTGGATAGAAAATAACTGTTGGAGGAAAAGCTATTATTAGTGAGTAGATGATTAAACGTAGATATGACTTCAATGTTTTTCAGTTGTATATACTCATGGGAATTCAGAGAGTCAGGGTGGCAAGAGTGTTTATTATTCCTGTCTCCCTTGACTAATGATATTTCTAAGTTGGGTCCAAGGTGAACCATAAGAGGCCTCAGACTGGTCAGATAGAGGAGGGGCGCCGCAAGGTTACTAAGTACAGAGAGCAGAGAAAGCTGCTAGGTAAACATTAACCCTTTAGTAAAATACAACACGGTGCCCGCAAATAAAACTGTGTCACTCCTCTGCTGCAGGCTGAAAACTAATCTTTTCACTGCCTCATATCACATCCTCCCAACTGAATCATATCCTCCCTGCTCTACTCACTGTAATTGCTCCAAAATCCCTTCCATCTGTCACCTTGGCTCTTATTTTACTTCTTGTCACAGAGCAGTTTAGTGTTGTGTGGTCGGTCCAATGCAACAGTAACAATGGCGGGGCCGGTGTTCTGACCCTCCTGCATATGGGTTGTTTGTAAAACTGGCAGTGTGGGAATTAGAGCTCCATGTACTGTTAAAGTTCCAGAAAAGCGTGTGAGCTTAAAGCCTAAATTGTGATGTAAAAGGATGGCAGGGTGTGAACTGTTTTAACTTTCCTTTAATTCCTGCAGTTTTTAATGAAATTATCTGAGAAGCACACAAAGGGGATTTCTAAATTTATAATAAAAGGCACAATATACTGCACACACAATGTGAAATTCTAATTAATCTTATCTAATCTAATCTGTTTTGCAGGATTTCAAGTGTTGTGCACATGCGACTCCTATCCATTTATAATTATTTGTAAATGCTAATATCTGTATTCTTTGTTGTCTTCCTGACCACATCCTGAACTTTAGCTTCAAAGAACAGGAAATCAGGTCAAACTGTTAACTGCCTTCAGGGGAAGCATGATTCAAAGTTTGCCTCTGCTCGCTGCTAGTCAGAGTCCTATTAAAAAAGCTTCCCTCAAGAAACTTCAAAGAAATGCTGGAGCTTCAATCATACAGACCTTGCTTTATCACACTGCTTAAGCTTTGCTCAGTCCTTGGAAATATTATAATTGCACAGAAGTTAAAAGAAGTAGGGACGCCCTGATTGCTTTTCATGTCCCCGATTCTGAAGCCAGTCCTTTACTATAGAGTATTACGCATGATTCCGAAATGAAAAAACTCTGGGAGATAGTATTACTGTATACACAGCAGCTTTGTTTGTGTTGTGTTTACACGTGGAGCTGTGTGTATGAGCAATATATTTATGTATGTATATGTAGCTGCACACATGTACACCAATCAGCCACAACATTAAAACCACTGACAGGTGAGGTGATCAACATTAATCATCTCTTTAGGGGCCGTACACACACTGCGTTTTTTGCGCCTTCAAATTCATTGCTTTCAATGTAGACGCACAGCAGGTGCGCTCAAACACCAGAGCGACGCCGTTGTGCCTATTTTTCCCCGGACGCCTATTTTTCAGGGCGCAACAGCTGCAACCTAAGATAAACCGAGTTCAACTTTTGGAACACTGCAGAATGTCATGTGATGAGGAACAACCGATCACAGCCAACAGATATCTTTCCCTTCTTAAAATAAAATAAATAAATAAAATAAATATCAGTCTGCAGTAAATACGGAAAAGTTGATCATGTTAGTGCAGGGCTGCCAGTGCTATACATCTGTCCCACGGACAATATACCCACACACTTATAAACAGCGCCTGAAAGAATATCAGGATTTCAGATAAATAGGTTATGACGCGGTGCTTGACAAGGTTGCTTAGCAATCTCAGGCACATCCTGCTGCTGCGCTCTTGAAAGTTGGCTCAAAAAAGGCACAAAAGTAGCACCCAACCTCGCATTTTCCAGGTGGGTAAAAATGCGGCATGTGTACAGCCCCTTACAATGCAAAGTTCTGCTGGAAAACCTTGGGCCTTGGCATTCATGTGGATGCCACCTACAACGCTTCACCCATGCAAACACCATTGCAGACCAAGTACCCCACCCTCATTGCACTGACACTCCCCAGTGGCAGTGGCCCTCCAGTAGGACAATGCACCGTGTAACACCGCAAAAACTGTTCAGGAATGGCCCGTGGAACATGACAAAGAGCTTAAGGCATCAACCTGGCCTCTAAATTCCCCAGATCCCAATTTGATGAAGTACTCAGGGGATGTGCCCGTACCAACAGGACTCCCCCAGAGGACCTGCGCCCATGCCTCCACAGGTTGCAGCCAAGTCTGGTCTAAGGAGGCACCACCGTGGATCGGGGGCACCTTTGAGGTGCTGGCATGTCCTGAGATGCTTGATCAGATTGGGATCTGGGGGATTTAGAGGCCAGGTAAATGCTTTAAGCTCTTTGTCACGTTCCTCAAGCAATTCTTGATCAGTTTTTGCCATGTGGCATGGAGCAGTGTCCCTCTGGGGAGGTCACTGCCATCAGGGAGTGTCCTTGCCATGATGGGGGGTACTTGGTCAGTGTGGCAGTGTCTGGGTGAGTGAAGCACATCAAGTTGCATTCACATGAACGCCAGGGTCCAAGGTTTCTAGGGCTGTACCCAAATATTCGGATATTCGAATTTTCGTTTCTATGGGTAGGTATTCGTTATGACGATCTGGTATTCGATTTTCGTTTTTTTATTTACTTTTTTTATTTACTTTTTTTTTTTGGGGTTACATATTTTTTGGTGCTAAATGTAGTCTTTTGTTGTTGGTAAATATAGGTTATCAATAAAAATCTAAACTTTTAAATTGCATTGTTAAAAATGTGAAAATATAGTATAGCCTACCAACGGAGCTTGTGCACATGGCACGCTTGAGCGCATCTGTCTGAGGCTGTGGATCAGTGCCAAGTTTTACCACTTTATCATTATTCCCTCTAACTTGTAGCTTGTCACCTCTTTGGCTGCTAAATATTCACCAGGTAGTTGACTAACATCTGTGTAATATCTGCCTGTTATTTGATGCTGGGCACATAAGTAGACTGAGAGTAAGACTGAACCAAAAGAGTTAAGTTGCCAGCTGTACAAACAATAAGCTTACGTTTAAGATGTTATTAAGCCGAAGAGAACTGCAGGTTTGAGAGAAATATCTGTCACTATGAGCAACAGCTTTCACATTATACCTGAGCATTTGATCTGTTGTTAACATAAAAACATTGATCAGAGCAGCTTTAAGACTACATTTATAATCCCTTTCAGTACTCTCCCTAAACCACATATGGTACATTTTGGTTCTTACCTTAATATATTTAACTGTGTCTATGTAGTAGCCTTAATTAGATTCTGTTTTCCTTCTACACACACAGGTAAGTATGTTGTTCTGCCAGCTCGGTATATTGGCTGTGTGCTTATTTCATTCATGTTCTGTGTGCCATGCCGAAGGGAGACAGATGTAAGAAATTAGTTGCGAAATACATTTCCGTGAAGGGACCAAATTGCCATCATAAACTTATTATTCTGCTCAAGTAATTTGCAGAAGACTAATAATCAGAGAGCTAAATAGTAATCCTGATGTAGTGCCTTAACATATTTATCCTGAACATGCTGCTGGAGACGTCTGACTCGCCAGCTGGGTAATGGGAAATACACTGCAGCATGAAAGGTGGCATAAAATGCTGTCAGCTAGCATATGGGCATGTAGGAGTCATGCTGTGCTCCATCTTGTGTTTCTGGACACCATTATACAGTTCTGTGGGTTGCTAATTGTACCATAGGAATGAGTGCCTTGAAACCCCGGGTGCCTGTGGGAGGCCTAAAGATGTGTCAGATTGGAGATGTGCTGTAAATAAGTGGATAAACGGTCGTTCAATTGAAAACAAGGTTGGTCAAGCTTTTTACTAGCAAAGGGAGCCCGGGGATCTCAGAGCCGTCATTATCTACAGCAAAACGGTCCTCAGAGGAGATCGAATCTGTGTGTCCTGTGCTGCAAAGTATACTCTAATTGTACAGGAAGACTCAAACTTTGATGGAAGCTACTACTTTTGTAGGTACCACTTTTGACTTCTCTCATCTAATTTTCTTTAAAATAATGAGAGCAATGCCTGGGTGTAGCTCTGACTTGGTCTTTAAGACATTTCTACAGTGTTGCAGGCAAGTGAACGGCATGTGGTCTAGACAAACAAAGACAGCAGCTTCAACAAAATATCCACACAGACAGTATTTATCAGTGAGTGAATGAGCAGAACAGCATTAGGCTGAAAAAAAGGTTGTTTTGTCTCTATCAGAGCAATATTTTTACCATCATCTAAACAATAGGATTGCCCGATTCCACATCAGGTTAGTAAATCTAGTAACTCACTTGCCATATCAGGCAACTTCTGAAAAAGACTAACACAGTGGTTTTCCAGGGCTAATGATGAAAGTAGCTTAAGTGTTACACATGTGCCGTACCGATCAGACACCTGGGAGACAACGCCAGCGGGTAAAGACAAAGTTTATAAGCCGAAGATCAAGCAAGCATTTTAATTATCCTAGAGTTTAGTGAGGAGGCGTTAGAGGATGTGGGCTAAACTCCAACAACGCATTGCACAGTTTGCCGCAAGTCTGAGAACGACACAGATAAAACAGGGTAAATTTTCGAATGCATGTCAAGTTTCTGAAAAATGTTGCTAGGGTGCCATAACAAGTCTTACGTCTTTGTTATTTTCTGATAACTCCTAATAAGCATAACAATTAAAACAATTTGTACAGGGTGGGGGTGATGTCTTTGAAAACCTGCCTTTTAGGGTGCTTTCACACCTGCCCTGTTTGGTTTGGCTCAATTGAGTTCAAGTTCGTTTGCCCCCTAGGTGT